GTTTTAGTGGGACTTTCTTCTTCTTCAAGATCTCCAAATTCTCCGTTGACAGAGAAGCCATTGAAACACCACGCCTTTGTTCTTTTTATTCTCCTTCCTCTCAAATCATCATCCATTGTTGTCCCAGCAAAACCCATCCTTTAGTTTCTCTGATTTCCCATGGATTCCATCGCAATTCGCAAAGCAGGTTTCTTGTGTCGAGAAATGAGTCTTCGCTGCTAGGTTTAAGCCAATTAGTTATTCGGCTAATCTCTACACTTTTTCTGTGGAAAAAAAAAAGTTTTGACTGTTCGATCAAGGAAAAAAGAAGACAAGTTGAAAGTTCATAGATGACTCATAACAAATTCTTAACACAATGGTTAAGTGTTTACTTCTTAACTTAGCACAATAGTTAAGTGTTTGGCTTTAGTTCCTAGAGGTTTAGGGTTGGAATATCATGGGAAGTTTTTTTCATTAATAAAACGAGCTTTTTGAGCATTAAAACGATCATGCAAAAACAAAGTCGTTTTGGTAAACATGTCATCACTATCACGGCCCGTCCATGTCATGTCAACATCCCGTTAACAGATTAACAACAGAGTGACTTAATTGAAGTAAAACATAAACATCAATACTAAAATTAGCAAAATTAAAACATCAATGACATTTTCGAACCCACGCTTAAAGGTCGGTGTACCCTAAAAGAAAATTGAATGCCATATCAATATAAGAAAAAATATAATCAGTTTTCTCTTGGGGTAAGGGTTTACAGTTGATGTTATTACAGGGAAAACCTGAAAAGCCATCAAAATGCAAGACTCAAACAATGCAATTATATATAGGCAAACAATACCCCATGTATTTAGAACAACAATACAGTATAATTTACTACATGATCCTAGTGCACCAAAAATCTACAAAACCAATGTATTACATCGTGCCTCCGCCATCGTGCACAAGGGCATCGTGCCTCCACACACCTTCATGCATCAAGTTTAAAGAAAAATACATCTAACCTATCAAGTTTAAAAAAAAATACATTCTGGAATGCCATCTTCAATCAGGATAACATCACCGACACCAAGAAGAAGAACAAAACCCAAAAACAAGGTATAATATCCTTCAGAACCGAAAAGAACTACCACGAACACCAATGGCGCACATACTTGCTCAATGCCTCACCTTATCATTGTTTCAACATTATCCTCGACTTCAGAAGCCATTAACAACGCAAATGCTCAAACCCTGACCTGTTAAGGTTACATCAACAAATGAATTAAAGATGACAGCTGAGTTTGTTTGATGATATAATCATATAAAAAGGTTCATCACATAATCATATAATCAAACAAACCTACATCCTGTGAAATCTTACTTCAATTACAAAGTCCATTTAACAAACTGGAAAAAGTTAAAATAACAGATTCAACACCAAACTCAAAATAAAGTCCAAAATCAATTTAATTAGATTAAAGAATAAACATCATGGGGAACTCCTAAGAATTAGATGAAAACCAATGAAGAATCAAGCTTACACATATCTCAAGTGATTAATGATACAATAAAAATAAAAAATATATAAACTAACAGAAATAACAAAGAGAAGCAGATATAATCCAATAATAATATCTACCAATAGAAAACTTTAATGGACAAATGGTTGATACCCTGCAAAATCAACAACACATTCTCCGGATAAGTAAACAAATGCATTAAAGATTACAGGCTGTGAGTTTGTTTGATGGTATAATCATATAAAAAGGTTCATTATATAACCATATAATCAAACAAACCCACAGCCTGTGAAATCTTTCTTCAATTACAAAGTCCATTCACCAAACAGGAAAAAGTTGACAATAATAGGTTCAACACCAAACTCAAAAGAAAATCCAAAGTCAATTTGATCAAATTAACAACAGCGGTTACTCAATATTCTCAAAGAATAAACATCATGGGGAACTCCTAATAATTCCATCCAGATACGTATAGAAACAACAACAAAAATATCATTTCATCCTGACAACGGATCTCTTAAATTACAATAATCTTATTAATCAAAGTCAAGGCATCATAAATTACAATCATCTCATTAACCAATGAAGAATCAAGCTTACCCATAAGTGATTAACAATACTATAAAAATAAAAAAATAAACCAAAAGGAAAAACAATGAGAAGCAGATTTAGATCTAATCATAATATCCACCAATAGAAAAATTAAGTAGACAAATGGTTGACGCCATGCAGAATCAACAACACATTCACCGGACAAGATAAGCAGCGGATGCAAGTGTCCCCCCTAGTAAGAGTAGGAGAAATCCGCATGCATCTGCAGCACGAGGCTGGAATGATGACATGAATAATCGAAAAAATCAAAACCCTAAATATACTGTCAGTAAAATGCTCGTCAGGGTGGCTGTCAAAGGAAGTGGGACGGTGGGAGTACGGGGATTCAGATGATGGCTCAAAATTGGGATTCACCATCCCATCGAATGACGAAAGGACATACTTTTTATTCTCCTTTAGCTCCGGGAGGAAAAGAAGAGGAGACATTCAGGGAAGGAAAGGAAAGCTGCGAGCGGCTATGAGATAAAGGAATGAACTGAAGCCCTAAACTATATATATATATATTGGTATTTAAAGGGATAGGAAAGCTGCGATCCGCTCTAAGGAAAAGAAAGGAATGGAAACCCTAGATTATATAGAGTAAATTATTAGTTTAGTATCTCAATTATTATTTTTATTTCATTTTGATATCTAATTTTTTTTAAATTATATATGAGGTTTATTTTTTTTAATTTAGTATCGTTCATTAAAAATTTAATGGTGATGTTGAAAATTTGATTTTTCACCGTAAGAATATAATACGTCATCACGAAAACATAAATTACCTCTACTGTAATTCACCCTAATATGTTTTAACAATTTTATGATTGACAGAGACCAGAGGGTTTAAACGGCCATGGTTTCCCTAAACAAAAAAATAAAATTAATTAAAAATTATCATTAGTTATTGATGTGAAAAATTAAAAATAATAAAAAATAACTAAAAGATATTATGTTAGTAATATTGTTATTTTATAACGACAGATGATTAAAATATAAACGAAATGTATGATTAAGTACAATTTAAAAGGAATAATGGTTGATGATCAAATTAAATAATACATAAACGAATAAATAAATAGTTTATCTTATTAAATTTGGACTAATCTGATTAAATTTTAACAAGAAAATAAACTACATTGAGAATAGGCCTTAACACTCGTTGACATTGTAGTTTCCAGAATTCAACATATCACCTGCGCAACCCTTTCCCAAATCTCCCTCCCTCGCGCAACCATTTTTTGCTAGAATTTTGTTATCATTTTCAACGTTATATCGTTCTGCATCAAAGAATGGTTTAGTTTTTATAAATATTTATCGGACAATTAGTGTTTATGAGATTTATTATTAAGGATTTTAAGTTTAGGGATTCATAGATTTAGGGAGATTCAAACGATGATAAGAGGGACGTACGTCAATGAAAATTCGGTGACATGTGGGTGGCCATTCGATGATGTCGAAGGCGGCCAATGATGACGGGTGACGACGATATGAGAATTGAAATGAAAGATTTTAGAATTTTAGGAATCTTTTTAAAACTTCAAAAAAAATTAGGTTTTTTAAATTAATAATATTCTAATTTAAAAACTTAAAAAAATATGAGAGCAAAACTTGTCAATTAATGATCAAATTTGACGGCGGCTATGGTCAGACACCTAAAAGTGTGACGTTAGAAACGTTAGACATTTTTTTTTAACGAAAATTCTTTAAACGTAAAATCGTATTTTAAAATATAGTCTAGGCATTAAAAAGTATATTAAGTATTTTATTTTAGTTGAATCTAAAAAGTTAACACTCAAAATCAGTTAGAATTGAATAAAAAAAGTCAAATTTTGAAGTCAACTTAGTTTAGACTGAACATTATTTCAATTGACACAGTTAATGTTATAATAACTACGAAATGATGTATAAGCAAAGGGTACGAGAAGATAAAAGAAAGGGTAATTTGCTATAAATATCACTAACCATTAGGCGTTGGTTCGAAAATGTCTCTGACATTTTAATTTTGCAAATTTAAGCATTGACATTTATGTTTTATTTTAATTAAATTACCCCACAATTAATTCGTTAACGGGATGCTAACATGACATAAACAAACCGTGACGGTGATAGTATGATTCCCTCACCAAAACGATGTCGTTTTGGTGGGACTCTCTTCTTCTTCAACATCTCCAAGTTCTCCATTGACAGAGAAGCCATTGAAACACAACGCCTTTGTTCTTCTTATTCTCCTTCTTCTTCCTCTCAAACCTTCACCCATTGTTGTCCCAGCAAAACCCATCCTTTAGTTTCTCAGATTTCCCATGGATTCCATCGCAAAACAGGTCTCTTGTCTCGATCCATCGCAAAACAGGTCTCTTGTCTCGAGAAATGGAGTCTTCGCTGCTGGGTTTAAGATTCTTAAGCTAATCTCTACACTTTCTCCGTTTGGTATCACGACATTTCTAGGAACAACGCCGTCGTTTGGTCCGCTAATGATTGTGGAAAAAAATTGGGTTTTGACTGTTCGATCAAGGAAAAAAGAAGACAAGTTTTTTTTCATTAATAAAACGACGTTTTGAGCTTTTTTGAGCATCAAAACAATTATACCAAAATAAAGTTTTGGTAGGCCATGTTATTACCATCACAACCCGTCCATGTCATGTCAGTATCCCTTTAACGGATTAACAACATGGTGGCTTAATTGAAGTAAAACATAAACATTCTAAAATTAACAAAATTAAAACATCAATGACATTTTCAAACCCATGCTTAAAGGCTTAAAGGTCAAAATAGCATTTGAAGTAGTTTACCCTAAAAGAAAATTGAATGTCATATGAATATATGAAAAAATATAATCAGTTTTCTCTTGGGGTACAAGGGTTTAAAGTTTTAGTTATTACTGGGAAAATCTGAAAAGCCATCAAAATGCAAGACTCAAACAATGCAACTATATATAGGCAAACAATACCCCATGTATTTAGAACAACAACACAGTATAATTAACTGCAACATGATCCTAGTGCAGCAAAAATCTACAAAAACAATGTATTACATCGTGCCTCCGCCATCGTGCACAATGGCATCGTGCATCCGCCATCGTGCATCCGCACGCCTTCATGCATCAAGTTTAAAGAAAAATACATCTAACCTATCAAGTTTAAAGAAAAATACATTCTGGAATGCATCTTCAATCGGGAATTTTAAGTGGAACTTGACCTGAAAACAAAGTATACAATCACCGACACCAAGAACAACAAAACCCAATAACAAGGTATAATATCCTTCAGAACCGAAAAGAACCACCACGAACACCAATGGCGCAAATACTTGCTCAATGCCTCACCTTATCATTGTTTCAACATTATCCTCAACTTCAGAAGCCATTAACAACGCAAATGCTCAAACCCTGACCTGTTAAGGCTACATCAGCAAATGCATTAAAGATGCAGAAGAGTTTGTTTGATGATATAATCATATAAAAACGTTCATCACATAATCATATAATCAAACAAACCTACAGCCTGTGAAATCTTACTTCAATTACAAAGCCCATTTAACAAACTGGAAAAAGTTACACTAACAGGTTCAACACCAAACTCAAAATAAAATCCAAAATCAATTTAATCAGATTAACAGCAGTTAATCAATATGCTCAAAGAATAAACATCATGGGGAACTCCTAAGAATTAGATGAAAACCAATGAAGAATCAAGCTTACACATATCTCATGTGATTAATGATACAATAAAAATAAAAAATATATAAACTAACAGAAGTAACAAAGAGAAGCAGATATAATCCAATCATAATATCTACAATAGAAAACTTTAATGGACAAATGGTTGATACCCTGCAAAATCAACAACACATTCTCCGGATAAGTAAACAAATGCATTAAAGATGACAGGCTGTGAGTTTGTTTGATGGTATAATCATATAAAAAGGTTCATCATATAACCATATAATCAAACAAACCCACAGCCTGTGAAATCTTTCTTCAATTACAAAGTCCATTCATCAAACATGAAAAAGTTGACAATAATAGGTTCAACACCAAACTCAAAAGAAAATCCAAAGTCAATTTGATCAAATTAACAACAGCGGTTAATTAATATTCTCAAAGAATAAACATCATGGGGAACTCCTAATAATTCCATCCAGATACGTATAGAAACAACAACAAAAATATCATTTCATCCTGACAACGGATCTCTTAAATTACAATAATCTTATTAATCAAAGTCGAGGCATCATAAATTACAATCATCTCATTAACCACTGAAGAATCAAGCTTACCCATAAGTGATTAACAATACTATAAAAAAAATAAACCAACAGGAAAAACCATGAGAAGCAGATTTAGATCTAATCATAATATCCACCAATAGAAAACTTAAGTAGACAAATGGTTGACACCATGCAGAATCAACAACACATTCACCGGACAAGATAAGCAGCGGATGCAAGTGTTCCCCCTAGTAAGAGTAGGAGAAACCCGCATGCATCTGCAGCACGAGGCTAGAATGAAGACATGAATAATCGAAAAAATCAAAACCCTAAATATACTGTCAGTAAAATGCTCGTCAGGGTGGCTGTCAAAGGAAGTGGGACGGTGGGAGTACGGCGGTTCAGATGGTGGCTTAAAATTAGGATTCATCGCCCCCATCGAATGACGAAAGTACATAGTTTTTATTCTCCTTTAGCTCTGGGAGGAAAAGAGGAGATGAGACATTTAGGGATTGGTAAGCTGCGATCCGCTCTAAGGAATGGAAACCCTAGATTATATAGGGTAAATTATTAGTTTAGTATCTCAATTATTTTTTTATTTCATTCTGATATCAATTTTTTAAAAATTATATCTGATGTTTTTATTTATTTTTCACTCTTCTTTTTCTTCTTCTCCTGTTAACCCCTACATCGATGCTTTAAATAAGAATTCCATTTCCGCAAGTGGGAAGGGGGAAAAGTATGATGGCTTTGATATTGTTGGTGGTGCTCTGATTGTGTTCAACAAGATGATTGCCAAGTACCCAAAGCCTTCTGTCTTGGAATTTAATAAACTATTAGGACCCATTGTTGAATGAAACATTATGCCATTGTCGTTTCTTTGTATAGCCGGATTGAATTACTAGCGGTTTCCCATGATGTTTATTCTTTGAGCATCTTGATTAATTGCTTCTGTCAATTAGGTCGGGTTGATTTTGGGTTTTCTGTTTTGGGGAAAATGCTAAAGTTAGGCGTTGAACCAACCGTTGTAACTCTGTCCACTTTGATTAATGGACTTTGCAAGCAAAGTAAGATTTCTCAGGCTGTGAGGCTGTTCGATGAAATGATCGAAAAGGGGTATCAGCCTCATTTAATTGCTTACACTACACTTCTTAATGGTTTGTGTAAGATCGACAGTACAGATAAAGCTGTTAGGTTTCTAAGGCTGACGGAAGGGAGAGGTTTCGAACCTGAAATTGTAACACATAGCTCTGCCATGCCCCCAACCCCAAAAAAAATATAAAATTACAATATAGACTCCTAAAATTTGCAAAAAAAATAATTTGGTCCCTCTAAAATTTTTAAAAATTCAAATTAAGTTTTAATTTTTTAATTTTTTTATGAAACCCCTTTCATAATTTCTAAAAGTTCTCAAGTCTCTCAAAAGTTCAAAAAAATTAGTTAGACCTTATTTTTTTTTTTGGAAAAATGTAAACTAAAACCTTAAAATTTTTTAAAGATTTTAATTTAAACATATGAAATTTTTAAAATTTTACATTGCCCCCCTCCAAATTTTATCACCAAGTTCCGCCCCTGTCCGCCTCTAATAGGTATGTTAATAATGTGAGTTTTTTTTTTTATTAATATGGGGTAAGCACAAGGTAATATTTATTCATAGATAACTCTCAACCTTTCAACAATGAACGCTTACAGTCCTGACATCTATAGTGTTCAAATCCGAGTCTCAAAAAATAACAATAATTTTTTTGCCACAGAGATCACTCGGATCGAACTAATACTTCGTGTGTTTAACAACTCGTATTATAAATTATACGTTGCACGTATATGACAATACTTTATGTGTTTTTTTTTTTTGGTTACATACAATACTTAATGTGCTGGTGTTACATTTATATACTTTTATTATGATTATGCGCACTACATGTTTACTACCATACCTCACTTATGTTCATTTCAAATTTGATGGTCTAAAAGAATTGGATAACAAAATTTCTTAAATAAATATACATGAACTATTATATAAACTTGATGACATGTACATGTTTAAAATTCACACTAAATTTGCACAAATCAAATTATTTTAATGATTAAAAAAATAATTATTATTTCTAAAGGTAGCAGACTTGAGAATCAACAACTGTAGCATGGGTGATTGAACGTTCAATGTCAAATCATTGAGAGTATTTAGAACATATACTATTTTATAAATTATGGGTAAAGTATACACATGGTTCTCCGACTATATGATATTATTTTGTTAAGTCTCTTGACTATTAAAAGTTACAAAATAGTCCCTCGACTATAGGATATTTCTTTGTTGAATCCCTCGACTATTAAAAGTTACAAAATGGTCACTTGACTATTTATTATGTTCCAAATTTGTCATTTACTTTAAAAAATTCACGACAATCTGAGTTGGATGTTAATATGTTGTTTGAGATATTATAACCGTTTCAGATTCAATGATTATATTTTATCATATCTCACATATCATACTAACTTTTAGCTTAGACTGTCGCTAATTTTTTAACGAAAAAGGATAATATTGGAACATAATGAATAGTCAGTTGACTATTTTGTAACTTTTAATAGTCGAATGACTCAAAAAAGTAATATCCTATAATTGAAGGACCATTTTGTAACTTTTAATAGTCGGAGGACTCAACAAAACAACATCATATAGTCGGAGGACCATTTTTATACTTTATCCTATAATTATCTTAGCTTAATAAAAAAACCAAATTTAACTCCAAATCCATTTTTATTTTAAAATATTTAGATTAATAATAATGTCAATGTCGCATGGTGCACCAATATTGTCTAAAATTTAGAAGTTCAATTGAAGCTAAAAATTTGAGCTCAATTGAAGCGAAAAAATAGTTTGCTCTGTGCCCACTAAAAGACTCCATGATTTTGAATGTCCAATTACCTCTATTATTTATAGAAGTAAGTTGGGATGCTCTTCTATGTTTCTTAGCCATGTGAGATTGTTTTGTTCTCATATTTTTACTCTTTAAACTTTTGGGATGCTCTTCTATGTTTCTTAGCCATGTGGGATTGTTTATTTTTTTTAAAAAAATTAAACCAAATGACATCATTTGTTATGATTTTTTAAGTTCCAATTTTATTTTTTTGATTATAGTTGTATAATTATATTTATTATTTAATATGTTTTACCTTATATATTATATTGTAGTTTATTTGAATCATTTTGTTTCACTTTATTTTATGGTTTTTAATTTATATATATTATGACTTGTAATATTTTTATACCTTTTAATATTGTAAACTTAAAAAAAGTGTTGCATATATATTAATATTGTTTTGAATATTATGTAAAATTTTAAAAAATATTATTTTATATAAAATCTGGTTCAACCGCGGTTGAACCAGTGAACCAGTATCTTTATCGATTTAATGTTCGATCTGATTTTAAAAACATTGATTCTAATCCTTAAATCTAAAATATAAAAAAAAACCCTAAAATACCAAAAAAGAAAAAGAAAAAAAACTAGCATTTTATTCCATGCATGAAAGTAAAAAGAAAGGGAGGTAGGGATTAGTGCAACACTCGGCCTATTTCACGAAATAATTTTTCGGTTGCATTATTTTACGATTTTTTTTCAATCACATTATCTGAAAAATTGTATCTATAAATAATAAAACTAATATAAAATATATTTTTATATTTATTAAGATTGAATTCTGAATACAGTAGCCCAAGCCCATTAAAGTGGAAGACAAAAATGCAAAAGGGAATACTGGGAATTCTTCCCGACGAGATTTTTTACAAATCAAGGAGAATTGGGGAACTCGGATCAAAGGGAATTAGTTGCATTCAATTTCAAAACAGGTAAGAAAGACAGTTTCTTTAAATTGTTTTTCCAATAATCTTTGTCAGCTATGCCTAAATCTCAGTAGTAATGGTGTTTTCTAGTATTGTTAGAATTGAGTTTAGTTTAGTTGGGTTTGAATCGGGTTCAGGCCAAATTTTGTAATTATCGCTGTAAGATATTGATCCTTCTTTCTTTTAATCATTCTGGGTGTTGAATTATCGCTTTTGAATGCTTGATTTGATATGTGATTTTCCGGTTTGTTTTGTTCTGTTTGGTTGGTGGGAAAATATTTAGACAAAGAAAGCTGAGATGGAGATGGCAGGTGGAGGTGGAATGGAGATGGATGCTGATGAAATGAATTCTTTGTTTGAAGGGATGGTTCTTTTTACACCATCCCAGTTGGTAGAAGACCATGAACTAGAGCAAAAGCAAGATCCCAATCACAAGGAATCTGAACCCGAGGCTAAACACGAACAGATGGATTTAAAACAGCAACAGCAGGAAGGGGTTCCGGAGCCCCTTGATGAGAATCTATTCTCTGACCTTGTCCTTCAAACCTCGCTTGATCAGCTGGAACCTGAACCTGAACCTCAACCCAAGCATGAACCAGAACCCGCACCGGCTTCTGCTACTGCATTCTCTCGGCAGATGTCTTCGACTCATCGAAAGAAAAAGAAAGCAGCTGGGTTCAGAATTGGATACGGTAGAGATTACCGGATTAATAATAATGATGTTGGTAGTCATGATACCACTTCTAGGATTGGATATGGTGGAGATGATCAGATTAATAATAATACTGATGGTCATGATGCTAACCAACGTGTGCAACCATCTCTTCATAGTAGCAGCACCATGGCCAGTAAAATATCTTTGGCCTTGGACTCGGATTTGCAATCTCAAGAAAGCCAACCTCAGCAGCAGCAGCAGGAAAAACAACAACAACAGCAAACCGTTAATGATGCTGGATCCCAATTTGACCAAATCAAGACCCAGATTGCTGATAAGCTCAGTCATGCTCGTGAATTGGCTGCCTCTATATTTGCAGCTCGCAAGGACTCCATTGGGAGGAGAAGAAAGGCTGCTGATGATCTTCATTTAGCAACTACTAGACTCGGGGAGCTTGAAAAGCAATTGGATGAAGCTTGTGAAGCCGAAGATTTCGAAGCTGCTGATAGAATCAATGAGAGCCTTGCTGCTGCTGACAAGGATAAACAGGCTCTCCTTACTGCTCTCCAAGATGCGGAGGCCCAATGCAATGCTATTGATTCCAAAATGCTAGAGGTTCTCAACTGCCAGATTGCGGTAGAGGAAGAATGTGCCACTTTGCTCCATCGTTTCTCCGAGGTTAATCATTAGTAGCAAAGTTGTCAATGACTTAACATCTCAATCTTTCACTGTCATAGATTGCTTATATATGTAGCGCTTTCTTACAACTACTTTCTTATGTGTTATGAGTGGAATATAATTCGGTTCTGTTCTTCCATTATTAGAGATTGTGCTTTCTGTGTCTGGTCTTACATGTTCTTGTTCCCACAGGATGCTACGAGTGATGCTGATTCAGTTTTCAAGAAATCAGAAGCTCAATCTTCAGAAGAAAGGGAGAAATGGCTTTCTTCGACTGAAGCCTTGGAGTTGAATAAGTTAGAATTGCAAATTGAGGCACATATAGTAGACGATGCTCGT